CACCCTTTGGTGCTCGGACCCTAATAAGCGTGATGAGGATGCTCAGCTGTTTGGTCCTTGCTGTGTTTTATGAGGAAACATGTGGATGGAGCAGCTTCACAGTCCTGAGGCCTCTCTGCTGGCTCTCTTCGGAACCTCAAGCTTCCTCCCACAGTCCAAACCCTTGCTGAGGTCACCTGGTGACTCACCTGTCTGAATGTGAGTAGCTTGTTTCTCTCTGTGACGGACTGGTTACCTGTCCAGGTGAACCTGCCTTTCCTTAGTCGGCTGGGATCAGGTGGAGGTTCACAGACAGACTCACACCGTCTCCTCTGGTTCTGGTTCTAATCTGTGTTTCTTCATCAGAGTTCAGCTCGTGGTCATAAAACCCTGCAGCGACTCACCTGGAGGCTTCAGAGCTGCATCACTGGTACAGGAGAGACTTTAGCCTCGTCTATAGCACTTTAATGTAAATCAATATATGTTCATTCTTTTTTTTTAAAAGATTTATTTTTGGGCTTTTCCGCCTTTAATGACAGTTGTCAGTGAAAGAGTGACAGAGAAACGTGGGGGAATGACATTCAGCAAATGAGCCACCGGCTGGAATCGAACCGCTGCGTCGGGGCCTGTAGCCCCTGGACATGGGTCGCCCGCCCTACCCCATGTTCATTTATTGTAATATTAGTTTTAATACATTTTCAGTGTTGTGTTTGGTTTATCTTCCTCACTCAACTTTATTAAATTAATGTAGTTGGTTGTCTCTAAGTGTAGCCCTGTGATAGACTGGTTACCTGTCCAGGTGAACCTGCCTTCACCCTAAGCCGGCTGGGATAGGCTCCGCCCCCCCGCGACCCAAATGAGGATTGAGCGGTGTATAGAAAATGGATGGATTTTCCTTTAATTCCAAAAAGATTTTATTTAATTCTAAATGCATTTTAATTCATGTTTTGGTATTTCTGTTCCTTCTCCACTGTCCTGACTCTGTGAGCCGCAGCTCTGCCCCCTGGTGGACACAGAAAGGGCCTACAGTCATCAACGTTACTGAACGCATCATCAGTGACGTCAGAGCAGCATCATGACGACTGGACGCAGCAGAGACGTGTTAAAATTAAAATTTTATTTTTACATCATACAAACTGTGTTTGGCCTCCTGCCTTTTCACAATAAAAGCACATTTCCATTGCAGACCTTCATCGCCTTCATCATCATCATCATCATCAGACAGTATTTACAGGCACATTTACACACTGTTAGCAAACTGTACACAGTCAGTAGAAAAGCTTTGTCACGCTGATCCTGATTATTTTATTAAACTTTTATTCCCTTGTAGAAAAATGATGCAGTAACAAACAGAGCTCGACCAATCAGAGCTCAGGATCCAACTGCACTCAGGTCAGGTGACATTCGCATCATCGGTGACACAGCAGAGGTTAAGCCCCGCCCCTCATCTTTAAAAATAAACAAAGAAAATTATGTAGAAGAAGCACCATCATCATCATCGTCATCATCATCACACGCATGCAGAATTTAATCTGAAAGAACTACGACTACGGGTCGAACACAGGCTCAAAAACACGCAAGGCAAAACACAGTCCCAATATCAGGAGAGAAAAAGAAGAGTCCAGCAGGAGGACCACGATTTGGATCAGTCTACCACAGACCCGGTTCATGGTCTGGTTCAGTCCAGCAAGAGGACCTGATCAGTATTCTGGTTCTGTTTCAGTTCTGCAGCAGAGCACCGTCGGAGTCTGGCTGCTTAGTGTCTGCTGGGTTCAGTCCAGCCACAGTCCATTTACACACAGCACAAGTCCAAGAGGGACCGGGAGGGGGGGTCAATTACAGTCCGAGAAGTTCTGAGAGGTCAAGGAGGGTCTAGAACAGTCCAGGAGGCTCCAAGACAGTCAAGCAGGTCTAGAACCATCCAGAACAAGCCAGGAAGGTCTAGAACATTCGAGAGAGTCCAGGGATGTCCAGGATGGTCAAGACAGGTCACGACAGGTTTAGACCATACCAGAACAGTCCGGGAAGGTCTAAAACAGTCAAGGAGGGTCCATAACAGTCCAGGACCACCAAGGACGGTCCAGGACAGTCAAGGAGGTTCCATGACGGTCTAGGAAGGCCCAGAGCAGTCAAGGCAGGTCTAGAATCACCCAGAACAGTCAAAGAAGGTCTAAAACAGTTAAGGAGGGTCCATAACAGTCCAGGATCATCAAGGAAGGTCTACGACAGCCAAAGAGGGTCCGGAAAGTTCTAGGAAGGTCCGAAGCAGTCAAGACAGGTCTAGAACAGATCAGGGCAATTCAGGAAGGTCCAGGTTGGTCTAGGAAAGTATAGAATAGTCCAAGGTCTAGAACAGTTCAGAACGTGTACTATCAGTCACGGGTGAACAGTGTCGTCCACAGAGATCAGGACAACACAACAGCTACAACGACATGGTCGCCGTGGAGACACAGCAGATAATCTCAGGCTGAATCCAAACGTCCTGACAGGCGTCGGCCGGTCGATTCGGTAAATTGTTTGGATTGTGACCCTGTTGACCGGCGCTGCTTCACAGAGGCTGATATGTGTAAATCTGGATCATCGAACTCAGTCTGACTGGGTCTAATTCCTGTTATTGCTGGTTCTTCTGTCAGGTGAGGACAGTTTGTATTCAGCCTGTCGGACAGTTCAGCACATCAGAGCTGGAAACTACAACAAAGTTAAACTAGAACTGGGTTCGCTGTTTGTCTCGTCCACCCAGTCTGGGCTTGTTCTGAGCTGCTCTCAGCGTTCCAGTATGTTGATGTTTCTGGTTCTAAAATTATTTAATCTTCCCATGATGCACCGGGATATGATCAATACGCCTGCTGTCAGAGAGACAGCGCCACCAAGCTGCAAGAGTGAAGGCACAGCTGGGATAAATAAGTATAAATAGGACTTACAGTATGTACACACAATAAGTTAGTAACTAGCTAACACACACAGACACACACACTTTAGCTCCGCCCACAGATTGTTTTCATCAGCTCGTCGTTGTTCAGCAGGTTTTAATGTTTCAGTGTGATTCCAGTTTCTGCTCAACACGTCCGTCCCGGTTGTCGTAAGCTGCTCAGTGAGCCGACAGCCACAGCAACATCTGGCAGCTTCAGTTCACGACTAAACAATAAAGACTTCATTTCAAATTGAAAAATTTATTCGTGCTTCAACTGACTGACTGTGATGACGTCTGTCTGGACCAGTCAGACACAAGAGTCTGATCATGTGACAGGAAGTGACCTAAAACCTCCAGCTGTGTGGCCTGAGCACCACACGTTCTTCACCTACTTTATGTGGTTCTGTAAAAGTTCTTCATGTTTATCAGAGTTCTTTGGTGACTCCAGCAAAATGACCTAAATGATTATCAAGTTCTGTTATCAAAATAGGAACCAAGTGGGTCCACAAAGAACTCTCTGGAAAGTAGTTCCTGAAGGAACCTATTTTTACAAACGTTCTTTGAAGCAAACATTATGGTGTCTACAGGAACCAGCCTTTAGGAGTTCTTTGAAGAACCTCTTGCTAAAAGCTTCTTTGTGGAACTAAACAGGTGCTTTCTGTGACATCACTGCAAAGAACCATTGTTGGCTCCCGTTTGGACCTTTATCTTCTGTGTAGCTACAGTTTGTTCTGGTCACTCTGAGTTCATGTTAAAGCTGTTGGAGCTACAGTGGAACAGAAAGACTGAAAGGAACCAGAACCAAGCTGATCCTTGGAACGTTCCACCTCACAGCTGAGCAGGGTTCCTGCAGTGGAACGCTGCCTAATGCTTGAGTTCCTTCTTTGGAACTGTTCGGTCTGAGGTTCTGTCCTGGTTGCTATGCACGAGTGGACATGTGAGGAACAGATCCAGACTCCATCTAAAGAAGTTCTGTTGTCTGAATCTGGTTCCGTCTCCTCGTGTCAGCAGACGTCATTAAGCCAATCAATTCAAATCAAAAACCTGTATTCATACAGACCTGAGAACACTGGTGAGTCGACCCGGACTCGACCTGGATGTGAGGAAGACTGGGAGGACTGGGAGGACTGGCGCTGCTGAGACATGGTCAGAAACCAGAGTCACACTGATGTAAACGCTCCCTGATTCCGATTTGGGTTCTGATTCTGTTATTGCATTCAGAGATCGTCAGAGTCAGAGCTGCTGGTTTCAGTAGAAAAGGCAAAAATACAAAACAGCTCGTCTGGGCTCAGCAGATCAATAATCAATACATGTGATCAGAATTTTTAATTGTGCTTTTTGACTAACAGACAGCAGGACAGCAGGGAATTCTGGGAAACGTAGTGCAAGGCAGCAGGTGACGACGATGTTCCCTGATCTGATTGGTTAGATTGTCAATGTGCACCACAAGCTGGTGTCAGGGTTTGGGTTAGTCCAACGTTAGTCCAACGTTAGTCCAACGTTAGTCCTACATCTGTTTAACTGCTGCTGTGTGAAGGAATCTAAGACTTGGGATCTCCTGAGTCTGACTATAATAACCTCGTATGTCACACACACACACACACACACACACACACACACACACACACACACACACACACACACACACACCCACAGCAGGAAGACACAGTGCCACAGCCGTCCAATCAGATTACTGCTTCATCACTCTCAGCAGGTCAGAGGTCATCAGAGGTCAGTGACTTTGTTTTCCACCAGGGCAGCGACCTGCTGCAGCCGATACGCCAGCTGCATCTTCTGACCAGAACTGTCCTCCTCCAGAGACATGATGACCTGACAGACAGACAGAGGAGTGAGACAGGCGCACTATTCCTCAGACGTGTTGAAATAAACAGAATCATTGTTTTTATTCTCACCTGATCATAATATTTGTTGATGTACTTGTAGAGTTCATGGAGAGCAACAAGATTGTTCATCTCTGAAGCGAAACTCTGAAAGCAGATAGTTAGACAGTCAGACAGACAGACAGTCAGTCAGTCAGTCACACAGACAGACAGACAGTCAGACAGACA